CTATCTTACAATAACAACAAAGGTAGCCTTAATGAATAGGCTGTTAGTATCCTTTGTTTGTTGTTGAAATGACAAGTGGAAGGACTGATGGCAATTACTGAATTATTTCAATTATTGAAGTCAGCATTTTCATTGCCTCCACCAGCAAAGATGTGCCGGAGGCATAATATATGAGCACTCTTTCCTTTCCTTTGTATCACTTACTGCATAAATCTACCCAATTTCACCATAGACCGATGAACTTGTTACATTTATTTTCAAAGGGCGAATACAATATACGGTCTGATTATGTGCAACAATAGGTTATTTTGTACACTTTGTATAATTATAGGCAATTAAAACACTTGTGTCATTTTTTTGTGTGCTGATATCTTGTCAATATGCGCTGAGAATTGAATATAATAACTACGTCTATTGCAATTATTAAACATCATCGTTTTATACATGGCGTGAAGCTAAGTGAAGATCATAGGTCCAGGCGCGTACACAGGGGGGGGGGTTAAATCCCCCCCTTTGGTAATTTTTTGTGTGTAAACCCCCCCCTAAATTTCCCTAAACCCCCCCCCCCCCTTTTGGATTTTTTTTTTTTTTTTTTTTTTTAATAAAAAATAAAAAAAAAATAAAAAATAAAAAAAAAAAAAATCCCATGGCCGACCTCAAATAGATGACCTTACCCCCCCCCCCAACGGATCAAAATGTCAAATTTTCAATTTCGATACCAAAAAAAAAGAAAAAAAGTGTCCTCTTACCTCCCCCCCCCCCCCCACTGAGCGACTTTTCGGTTGGCTGAGTCGCTCCGATTTTTTTTTGGACTACCAAAAAAAAAAAAAAAAGTGTCCGCTTACCCACCGAGGGATTTTTTTTTTGGACTACCAAAAAAAAAAAAAAAAATGGGCCGCTTACCCCCCCCCCCCCCCCCCCCCCCCCCCCCCCACTGAGCGACTTTTCGGTCGGCGCGATTTTCAAATTTTCGGGAGCAAAATATTTTGGGCCAGATTTTAAACCCCCCCCCCCCCCCCATGAAAAAAATCCTGCGTACGCCCCTGCATAGGTCTATGATTCTAAAGTCACTATGAACATGATGAAGACAACAAAACATGAGTTCACAATTCGCGATATATAGCTACGATCTGATTTGAATTTATATATCATGTTACTGTACATAAATGTCATATTTTTGTAATCTCTTTATGAGTATATCTATGGATAAACATTTATATTAAAAAAAGGGAATTTTGTGGATCCGTGATAGTTAGTACGCTTGATTAACATTGGGCTAAATGTTAATCGCAAAGAAGGCTAGTCAGCCAAATGTAACACTTGTTTCCAAGACATCTCATTCTGTTGTATGTATGATATTATGGTTTTCACTAAATAACTACATTTTATATTTGTTTGACCTTCATCTGGTTCATGCACAGAAGCAAAAATAGTGTAGTGTTACTAAATCGGAGCAGGCCTTTGAACAAATATCATTGAAATAATAAATGGCGAATGTAAACAGTAATGCTATTGAATAAAACGAACTTCTGGCTTTTAAAATTATTTTGAGCCCTTTAAGACCAGAGGATGACTGAGGGAAACATAGCCGAAGAGAAAGAGAAAAAGAGAAAAAGAGAAAAAGAGAGAGAATAATTTTAACATGATTGAATGTTGCTGAGCTGGCGGTGGTAAAAAAAAACAAATGCAAAGAACTCTACATAATAAACCGAGCACAACAGTTATCATACTAGAGATATAGTGTAGCTAGATCTAGATTGAGAAAGAGAGGGGGAGAGAGAGAGAGAGAGAGAGAGAGAGAGAGAGAGAGGGGGAGAATAGAGAGACAGAGAGAGAGACAGAGAGAGAGAGAGAGAGAGGGCCATATACAGAGAGAGACAGACAGACAGAGAAAGAGAGATAGACAGAGAGAGAGAGAGAGAGACAAAGAGAGAGGGGAGGGCAGATAGAGAAAGAAAAAGAGAGACACACACACACACACACACACACACACAGACGGAGAGAGACATGGAGAGAGACAGATAGGGGAGATATATAGAGAGAGAGAGAGAGAGAGAGAGAGAGAGAGAGAGAGAGAGATACAGACGGAGAGATAAAGCGACCTCCTCAATATCATTCAAAACCCGATCTACTTATTATTTTTAAAAGTTTTGTTTAAATGATACCAAAGTCAAATGGTTAGGTATATGGTCATAAAGTAACAACAGAGATAGAAACGCTAAAACATGAATTGCAGAATTTCCTGAGAACCTTATGTCAATTCTTAACAAAAGAATGAGATAACGCTTTTTCGAAAATACTGCTCATCATCTTAGTCATTTTGCACCCACCATGACCTTCCATGAAACGAAATTGGAATATCATATGAAGATGACGCAACCTTTCGTAGGGTTTTCACAAAGTGTCATGTACATTGGACCAGACCATTTGTAGATTAAAGGGTTTAATTTCACAAGCATTACCTCCAACATTTCGTGAATAAAGGGTATGTTTTCATTACAGGTCGGGTAACAGACCACCCGACTCAACACGATGACTCGATGATTCGAAGTCAACCCATTATACCTATATTATATATATCATCAGTGTCTTTTCAATTGCAAATTTGTTTCCGAGACAAGAATGAATAGTACAGTATATGTAACCGAATTTGTCAAATACATGGCCTGGCTGAAGTTGATGATTCGGTTGTCGCATTTTAATCGCTGCAATTCCATTCTAAACATTGCAAATGAAGATGATCTTTTCACAACGACTGGTTTAATAATTGTACAATACAAGTCATCAGATTGGCTGAGCTAATAGTAACACGATACATGACGCATGATCGGAGAGGGCGTTTGGCAACTCATTCTTCCTCTTCCATATACTGGCAAACAGTACCTGACGATAACTCGAAATGATGACGATGATCATTAAAATAGTCTAGAACCATAACATTTCTGTTTTCCTTGGCTGAAAATTATACTAGCATATCATTTTGATTAATACCTGTACGAGGAAGAAGGGGGCTTAAAAATATGTAGTATCTTATTTCATTTGAGCTAATTCCAAGTGCTACATCTTGCAGAAAATAAGACGCCGTCACCTTATACCATAAGATTGAATTGTGAGTGATCATTTTAACTTCGAATCTTGGCGTCTCATCACCTAATCTTCCTGCTCATCATCATTTTCATTTTCGATTTGGAAGGTTGTTTTCACGTTATTTGAACTGCTGTTGAATAGACTACTACAATGGCACAACTATTTCAGAGGTATGTGGTTTTGGTTTTGCACTAATTTTCAAACATAAGAAAGACAAACTTTAATATTTTCGGGATATCTGAGGAGGCTTAATTAAAGGTAAAGACCAGTATTGGAAACGCCCCAATTTCAAAAAATGAAATGGAAGCTCTCATTACCAATCATGTGAAAGAATATGTTTTGACTAATACATGATGATAACAAATTTGCCGGGAAACTGCCTACTAATTCATATATTTGGTAATTTTTTTTATCTCATGGTCTGTGAGAGATATAGGGTAGTCCCATATACATCTTTCTGTGTATAGTGCTTGTAACTTTACGAAGAATGGGCCAAGTTTCTTATCATTTTGATGATTCCGGAACCTTGCAGATGCTAGATGCTAGATTATCAACCTTTTCTGATCGATTCCACAACGTTTCTTTCACAATGCAATCGCATGACCATAACTGGTCTTTACCTTTAAACTTATCTACCCTTACTTCGAGTGTAGGTTGCTCAAAGACAAACGTTTAACAATCCATGAGCATACAGAAAGAATACGTATGATTTTAAGAATAACAAATTTGTTTAACACAGCGATTATGTAAAAATATTATTGTTCTCCATTATTTTGAAATTATTTGGATATCACCATTTGCTATTGTTCTTATCTCGATTTGTTTAAGATAAAATGCATTAAAGCCAATGTCGACATTGTTTGGCAAATCTCAAAAGCAATTTGAATATATCTGAACGCATTCATCTCTAATGTTACTTAAAAAGGTACGGAATAAAGTATGTACGATCATCGTGAGGCGAAATGAAGGAACATTAATACACTAGTGCCTTATTGGATCACTGTTACTTTTTATACTTTTCTTTCGTATTTTTCTTCTCACACAGATCTAAGTCACCGTCGTTTATCGCCAGTGTAATTTTTCTTATAACTATCATAATGTTTGCGGAAAGCGCACAAGCTACAGGCTCTACCTCAACTCCACCCAAACACTCGACCTCCGGCTCTACCACAACCCCAGCCACAGACTTCACCACAGACTCTACCACAACCCCATCACCACCCTCGACCTCACGCTCTACCACAACACCACCACCACCCTCGACCTCAGGCTCCACCACCACAACACCACCACCACCCTCGACCTCCGGCTCTACCACAACCCCAGCCACAGACTTCACCACAGACTCTACCACAACCCCATCACCACCCCCGACCTCACGCTCTACCACCACAACACCACCACCACCCTCGACCTCAGGCTCCACCACCACAACACCACCACCACCCTCGACCTCACGCTCTACCACCACAACACCACCACCACCCTCGACCTCAGGCTCCACCACCACAACACCACCACCACCCTCGACCTCCGGCTCTACCACAACCCCAGCCACAGACTTCACCACAGACTCTACCACAACCCCATCACCACCCCCGACCTCACGCTCTACCACCACGACACCACCACCACCACCCTCGACCTCAGGCTCCACCACAACCCCATCACCACCCTCGACCTCACGCTCTACCACCACAACACCACCACCACCCTCGACCTCAGGCTCCACCACAACCCCATCACCACCCTCGACCTCAGAATCTACCACAACACCACCACCACCCTCGACCTCAGAATCTACCACAACACCACCACCACCCTCGACCTCAGGCTCCACCACAACCCCACCACCACCCTCGACCTCACGCTCTACCACAACCCCACCACCACCCTCGACCTCACGCTCTACCATAACACCACCACCACCCCCGACCTCACGCTTTACCACAACCCCATCACCACCCTCGACCTCACGCTCTACCACAACCCCACCACCACCCTCGACCTCACGCTCTACCACAACACCACCACCACCCCCGACCTCACGCTTCACCACAACCCCACCACCACCCTCGACCTCACGCTCTACCACAACACCACCACCACCCCCGACCTCACGTTTCACCACAACCCCATCACCACCCTCGACCTCACGCTCTACCACAACCCCACCACCACCCCCGACCTCACGCTCTACCATAACCTCATCCGCAGACTTGGACCCCAAATCTAGCCAGGGAGACGGAACCTTGAGTAACGACGCAGCCCTGAAACAAAGAGGTAAGTTATGATTCGGATAGCAAATCAATAATCTTAGTTGTTCTTTGAAGTTATCAAAGCCTATTAGAAAAGGTGTGCAAAGTTTTTATGGAGACAACAAGCAATAATTCTTGTACTGTTTTTGAAACAACAAACGCTATTTCTCCAAGAAAGAAGGCGGTCAAAGCGCATATCAACAAGTTTGGAAAGAAAAAAAACACCATGAAAAACCCTCCAAAATGCATTAAAACAAACAAAGTAATTATATTTGTGCTTGAACGCGAGATCATACTGATTTTAAGTAGTCTCTCTTTTAATGTTTGAAAGATTTAATACAGATATTGAACATTTATTTTCCGAAGATCTCGGAGGTTCTTGGCTAAATTCTAATCTTGTTCCTCATTTTGTGATGTTCCTAAGTCTTAGTAAAAGACGATCAAACCTTTGTAATAAGTTGATTTTTTAAGAAAGCAGCCAAATACCAGGAACAGAAAGGCAAAAGTTTGAAAAGTTATGGATGTTTAATGTTAATGTTTAATTTTAATTTCTAAATTTGTATTACCTGAATGTACAATCTATTACATGTAAACTAATTTCTGTTTTTCTCGTAAGTTCCTTCTCTTCTGGGGGACTACTCAAAATACATAATGTAGATAGCAGATCATTATAGGTCCTCTAAATAGAAAAGACCCTCCCGAGCCATGAACTTTTGACGAAATTAAATTTAAGTAATTTTATATGTTGGAACAGATGGGAAACTAGTTGGGCACTATACGTCACATTGACATTACCGCTTCAACAAAGTACATGAAATTCCCATATACGTACTGTATAGTGATTACAACTTTCACAAATTCACAACTCTCTTATATTTAGTCAGATTTAATTGAAACTTTCATCAGTTTGATGAGTTTTCAGTGACAGCCATGATAAGTGTTCATTGATACGAGCTAGGTTGGCAAAGTCAACGCCAAGGCATGCCTTTTGTGTTTTTCCAACAAGGTGAAACTAAACAGAATAAAGCACTAAAATGTGAGGACAATGGTCTTCAGTCGCAAATAGCCACGAAAGCCTACCAATGAGAGAGTTTTGAATTTACCCCTTTAGTTGATATGACTTTTGTTGACGATAACCATAATAGTATACAAAGGAGAGTATTTAATAATGTGTTTTAGAGTCTGCCAGTTAATTGCCCCTATCTAACCATGCTAAACCATCGACCAAACTTTGCTAAAGGTAGTAGTACGATGAATGTACATGATCACGAACGGCACAAGAATTCTTTTTAAGAAAGGGCGGGGGGGGGGGTCATAAACCTTTGACATGATAGGAAGCGTCTATTGCTACCACCTTGTCCAAGCATTGCTTTTTCGTGAAAAATAAAACACTTTTCGATATGTATATTCTTACGGTCTCAATTTACTTGTATATTTTGTCCTAGATGAAATCGGGTCTATGGCTGTTGCTGGATTATGTCTAGTTGTAGTCATTCTTCTAATCATCGCAGTTAATGGATTGCTATTCTTCCGATCAAAATTAGGGTAAGCTGAAGTTTTTAAAACCACAGGTTTAAGAAATTATTAGGGGTAAATCATACGTCTCTCTCTCTCTAAGTGCCATGTCGTTTGACTTTGACGATCATGCTGTTCCATAACCCCCGGCTCCTAGCATTCTGTATTAGTACCACTCCCAGTTCTTTCACTCCTCTCTCTTCCAGCAATTTCTGCAGACTGTCCATCCAAAGTATCCTCCTTCTTCCCCTACTCCTTTTTCCCATAATTTTCCCTGTCAAAGCTAGCCTATAATCTAGGCGGAGTGCCGAGCTTTTTTCTTTGCTGCTAGACTAACCCTAAGCAGAACGTCTGATACGGCGAGACTACGAACCGTGAGTCGCGATTATAGGCTATGTCAAAGCAAGATTATCTTAGCCTTCTGTACGTGTAATGTGACCCATACGTACAAACAAATATCGCCGATTGAATTGTGTAAGAAACAGTGAGCATCTGTTAAAGCTTATCTGTACTAGTTTATAGGAGGGATTAGAGCACCCTGCAATGTCACTGAGCAGGTGGTTTCAACTCAGCTCTTAATTAACAAAAGAAAAAAAGGATCATGGGGGACCAATGATCACCGATTAGGCATTGTTTTCTATATAGAGGGAGCAAGTAGTGCAGTGTGGCTTTGAACATCTCTAGCCTCATTCGTGCCTTGAAAGCAAACCATATTATAATTGATTGCTTAGGTTTTGTCAGATTAAAAGGATGACACGTTGATAATACTGTAATGAAAGAAAGTAAACAAACAAAGATACAAACAAAGTTATTGACGAACATCTCGTTGAACAAACTTTTATAATTATTCCTTTAAATTCATTTTTCCATGCATGCCCAGTTTTTAAATAATAAAGATGATTAAGCAAACAAATCTTAAATTAATATTTGGGGATAAAACCCCGTTAAAATGATGGTAAAATTTCACTAAGTTTGTATCTTAATACTACTACTAATAATAATAATATTAATAATAATGATAATAATAATAATAATAATAATAATAATAATAATAATAATAATAATAATATTAATAATAATAATAATAATAGTGAACATTTATAATACGCCATGTCTGTCAAAATTGACACACCTGAAAAAGAATGACATTACTTGTAGAGATAATCCCGATGGCAGCTATCATACAGCTAAACTGGGACATTAAAGACACATTTCTGCAATGATTTTTAAAAAATGTGTTTGAAGACAAATGTTGATAAAAGAATACATAATTTGGGTTTTGATTGTATATTCTTTCATCAATATTCGACCTCAAACACAGTTTATTTTGAAAATCATTGCAGTTATGAGTTTCAAATGACGCCCTTTTACATTATGATACAAGTTAAAGGGATCCGGTAACTTTGTCTCAGATTCTGAAATAAATTCTGGATTTAGCTCATGATGCAATGCTAATTATAAACATTTAGGTCAGTCAGGAGCCCCATGACTTTTACAAGCCGATCGCCTGTCTGATTATCAAGATATTTATGATTGGAATTACAAATTTTGAAAACCGTTCGCCTGACGGTTTTCATAACACTACAGTCTATTGGGCAAAACGAGTATGGTAAAACCGGTCACTCAAAGATTTTTACTTTTTTGAGGCACTTCTTAATCATTTTGAAGCGCAATTTTTTTTGGGCTTCAATATTACACCATATCACAGACACTAATAACACGTAGGGCCGTGTATCTCAGATTTAACATTGTTAAACGATCCCTTTAAGTGAAATTTCGCCATTAATTTTTGGGGGCTCCCAACACTTTAAAGGGACCTAAAGTATTAGATTATGATTTCTTGCAGTACTGTTGTTGTGCTCTTTAAATTTTATGAAAAATTAGAGTTATTTTGATATTTTTTTATTGATAGATTGAATACTAGTAGCATTGTAGTAAACAAAGTTCATATTATCTTGCAGCGTATACAGTTCACGAAGAGAGGTTCTTCACGCCCTTCAAATGTATTTGATGAAGAAGGACCGTGTCAATGAGGACGACGTCGAGGATAACTTCAAAGAGGACGCTGACGTCGACAGGAAAACCAACTCGTCGACTTCGCTGAACAAAGAGAGCCCTGTCGACCAGCCCACCGAGAAGAACGGGGATGTGCACGTGAAGGTCGAGGTCGAGGACAATGCAGGGTCTTCTAAGAACAAAAACGATGACGAAGAATCTAAAACCCCGGTAGAGAATGGTGACGGCAAAGACGCAACTGCTCCAGCTGCTACTGCTGTCGTCGACGAAAGCAAGAACCCAGAGGAACAAATCGAGAAGAATGAGATTGTGGTTGAAGTCATCGTAGAGGGTGCTATTAAAAATGAAGACAAGCAACCGTGATGTTTTTACTCGCAATTTTGCTGCGAGTGGCGATCTAAAAACTGCTTGGTAAAGAAAAAGAAAAAATGAAAATGAAAATAATTGTTTTTTCCAAGGTTGATGCACAGGGTTAGAGGCACTGTACTGAAGTAAACAGTAAACCGTAAGCCTAAACGTCTTATAAATGTTATATGTGTGTGCCCTTTCGCCCAATTTAAAGGGACTTTGTAACATTGTTCAGATGAGAGATAGTAGTGCTAAGGTAGTGACTTCAATGCTAGATGTACAATTAACGATAATCTGAAAATTTGAGTGAAAACGGATGATTATTCATGGTACAAATTGGGAAAAACTGATCTGATCGATTCCTTAATTCTCCCAACTATATTATTCTACTTCTATTCTGCTACTTGTCAAAGCCTGTTCAGCATCAAGACAAGGACAATTTAATTACATTTTAGGTCAGTGTAAATCGTCACAAAGCAATAAAATGGCTCTACATTCCATTCCAGACAGTTAAGTGTTGACAGATTTTTATAGCCTGTTTTATGTATTTTTGTCATGGAAAAACGGTTGGGAAAATTCAAAAATGGTTGGGAGAATTTACTGTTAATCACTGTTAAAGGGTGCCTCCCATCGACGCCTTCAAAGAAAACCATAGATATCTTTGTGGTTTGAGAATTTGTTCAGGATTTTTTGCATATCAGAGGGTTAGTATAGTAGAAGGAATATAGTAAGTAACATTTTATACAAAAATTAAGTCATTTTTTCATCAACCTTCAACAATGTTACCGAGTCACTTTAAACTGAGCTGTGACTCCCTCCCTCACCCCATTTTTATATCCTTGGGTCCGCCAATAAAAAATAGGTGTTGTGATGTGAAATATTCTCATTACGATTCGCTTGGAAAAACTGAAACGCGGCCAGCATTCGAACGAATCAAAGTACAGTTATTTTGAAAGTCATCAAAGAATAGTTTTAAAATTAAAAAAAAACTGAACCCTAATCCAATTACAGTCTTATTAACATTTACATATAAATGATGATGAAGATGATGATGATGATATTAATAATGATAAATGTTTCTTATAATAAAAGCGCAGTGACATTACAACTGAATGTTTGAACCATGTAATATCTTCTCCTATACACATAACCTGCCTTTAATAAGTCTATTCCAATCAGATACACAGAGGCAAATGTATAAATAAAAATTGCTATGGTCGATAACAATTTGCATTCTATTCAAAATCTTATTCATAATATCTGAAAATGTGTTCATCCTCTTTATTTACATTGAAAGGATCAATATAAATAAGTGTTCGATCATGTAATTAAAAGTATCTTTGCAGGAAATGTAAACTCTCGAGGCTAATATGATATCATAGAAATTAGAGTATGTGATTATTTTTTAGTATTTAGAAATAAATAAAAAACAATAAAGTATACAAATAATAAAACTTTGTGAGCTTTCACAAAACTAATTTGCAATTGAATGGGAAATAAATTATGCAAATGTTTACTAATTTAAATAAACTCCCCAAATTTTTCTCCAAATATTGTCTTTTGATTTGTCATCTCTGCCCTGGTAAAAGAGATTTGTTCCTTCATTAACAGCAAACAGGAAGTTTATATATATTTGATTATTCATTTGTACACAAAAGGGGAAAGTAGAGCGAAAGGGACATCACGGAGTTTCCAATGTGAGTTTAATAAATTACAACTTTGAATTTTCACAACTCTGTCCATCTTTATCACATGTCTCTTTAACTTTAACTGCTCGTATGAATTTGATATCATGGCGGACTTTCCCTTCGAGTACATGCGTTACAGATTTATAGATTTGTTTGAAGGGCAAATGCTTCTTGCTATGAAAGTGAAATTAGGACAAGTACATGATTACCGCGAGATCAAAACTGCTATTTATAGAACACATACTCAAACATAATATGCTCAGAGCTTGAGTAATATATCAGACATGGGATATTTCAGAAAATAATTTGAAATAAAATGAACATCTAACAATTATCAAATTTCCTTTGTCTGCTTCTTCTTCTCTTCTTCTTCTTCTTCTTCTTCTTTTTCTTCTTCTTCTTCTTTTACTTCTGCGTTTCTTCGTTTCTTCGTTTCTTCTCTTTTTTCTCCTTCCTCTTCTTGTTCTCCTTGACTTTTCCTTCTTCTTCTTATCCCTCATTATTTCTTCTTCTTCTTAACTTTCTTCTTCTTCTTCTTCTTCTTCTTCTTCTTCTTCTTCTTCTTCTTCTTCTTCTTCTTCTTCTTCTCCTTCTTCTTCTTCTTCCTCTTCTTCTTTCTCTTCTTCACTTCTCTTCTTTTTCTTCTTCTCATTCTTCGTACATGTACATGTAGATACATGTTATGTGCTCTATGGAATGTGCTTTATACAGTTAAAAACTAAATAATGTATACCCCTTGTAAATCTGATGTTTTTGTGTATAAGCCAAGAATCAAAAGTGGACCGGTTGAATTATGGCTCTTGTTGAATACTCTCACGTTCCCAAGATAAATGAATCAGGACAAATAAAAAGTTCACATACTTAATTTTTTTTTTACAAAATTTGGTTAGGGTGTGAACAATTTAGTTGTTAACTGTACTAATATATACCTATAATCCGATTCTATAAGCATGTATTTCTTATCGTTAATTACCAGGTCCCTGTCTATCAAAGACTTCAGATTGATCAGAATTGATTACCTATCAATCGCAAACTTGCAAATATTTGCTCTTTATAACAGAAGTGAAACACAGTCAATATCAAGTTGCAATTTATTTGAATCAATCATAACTGTGCACAAGACGGTATCCATGACTTATGACAATAAGAATAGTAATGATGATTTATATACCAAGGGACGCCTCATCAGCATCAGAGCTGTTCTCCCGGGGGCTAGCAATTACCAGGTATCCATGTGGATTGTGGATTAATGTCTTGTCAAAGAATGTTAGCGACAGACTAGGATTCGAATCCTCACCTCTATGGATTGAGATTCAAGTTAATGAACCACTATACCATGACGCCCCCGCATGGTAATTATCTTAAAGGCATCGTTTAACAATGTTAAATCTGAGATGCATGGGCAGCATGGCCCTATGTGTTAACAGTGTCTGTGATATGGTGTAATATTGAAGCCCTAAACAAATTGGGCTTCAAAATGATCATGAAGTGCCTCAAAACATTAAAAATCTTTGAGTGACCGGTTTTACCATACTCGTTTTGCCCAATAGACTGTAGTATTATGAAAACCGTTAGGAAAAAGAATTTTGAAATTTCGATTTCCAATCATAAATATCATGATAATCACACAAGTGATCGGTTTGTAAAAGTCATGGGGTCCCTGACTACGTAAAAGGTTTATAACTATGATTGCAGCTTGAGCTAAATCCAGGATTTTGTTTCAGAATCTAAGAGAAAGTTACCCAATCCCTTTAAATCACTAGACAGACCATTGAAATGTATGACACCACGATGCTTGGCTTATGTATAGCATTATCATCTCTGAACCAGGAAGAACGTGCGGTGAGAAAATAAAGTCCCATTCAAGTAGAAACAACATCCTGATTGATACTCAACACCAGTATCTAACAGACGAATACCTGGCAAGCGAACATGTATATCATTTTCATAAATATATATCGTCATTATCAACCGACGCCTTGGTGGTTAAGCGTTATCTCCCGTTGATCAGTACTTCATTTTGATTTGAGCAGTCGTCATTTGCATGTCGAGAACTTCTAAACGGAACTTCAGAATGGCAGGATTTACACAAAGGTTAGTGCCTTATCGTCTTCTTATTTATCCGGTTTTTGAAACCCGAAATAGATTATTAATTTGTAAGGGAAGTACACCCTGATATTAAGTTGGTTAAAATACAGTTGGTTTAATAAAAGCAGAGAAACGAGAGACAGAAATTAGTGAAAGTTTGAGCAATATCCGATTAAAAGTAGGAAACTTGTAAATGTTTCAAGTTGTTATCAGTTGTACACACATTGGCATCACTGTGACGTATCTTGCTAGGTCCTCCCCAATGTGCTATTTTCGGAAAATTTCGTCAACTTCGATTTTCTTAATTATTGAGGACGGAACAGATTTCTTTCAGACAGGGGTCGTATAAAACATATTTGCACTAATAATATTTAGGGGGAATGTATGATTGACAATTTTCTTGAGGGAAAATATAGATTTATGACGTTTTTAGTACAGAGCAAATTTGAGGGGACCCTTAAAGATACGTCACAGATTTGCCAATTTGTGTTTGATTGATTGCCCCTTAAAATAAACACAAAACTTTCTTATTTCAAATCGATTTTCGCTTAAACTTTCACTGACATGTTTTACTAATATCAGTGGGGACTTCCCCGTTCAGTATAGCATGTCTATAGGCAAACGTCAGGACATTGCGGAACTGAGAGCTGATATTCTACGTTTATTTCTCAAAGTCAACTATGCATGCATATGCATACTAAATGGAACTACATGGTTATAGTTTCTGATACTCGAATAGGTGTATACATAATATTGATAGCAGGAACATTTTTGTTTATATCAATCGACGTTTAGTAACATAGAGAACGAATATAAATAGATCCTAAATGAATGTATGCATAGACGATCTGGAGAGGACAATGTTCAAGACCAAAATTAAAAAAGTTGGCGAAGGAGGAGAAGACGAAGAAAATAAAAAATGAAGAACAGAACAAAGAAGAAAAGTAAAAGAAGAGGAGAAACAAAAGGAGAGAGAGGGAGAGAGAGAGAGAAAGAGAGAGAGAGAGAGAGAGAGAGAGAGGAGAGAGAGAGAGAGAAAGAGAGGGAGAGAGAGAGAGAAAGAGAGAGAGAGAGAGAGAAAGAGAGAGAGGGAGAGAGAGAGACAGAGAGAGAGAAAGAAAGAGAAAGAGAGAGAGAGAGAGAGAGAACAAGAGGAAGAGAAAAGGAAGAGGGTAAAGTAAAAGAAGCAGAGGGGGAAGAATAACAAGTAATGAGAATTAGAGGAAAATGAAGGGGTAATAAATAATATATGGAACAAAATTGGGAGGGGGTGGTGTCAGGAGAATCAAACCTTAAAAAATATGTTCTGAGTGATGAAGAAAAATCGGAGGAATGAATTCGATTAAGATCACTACCGTTTTGATGATCAACCCCTGTTTTCTTTTCCAATTGTCGTATTAAATTCCTTTCTCAATTTGAGAGATGGATGAAGTAGAATATACTCGTATACGGCTACATTAAGATGTTCGTGTCCAAGTCTTGCTAGGAATCAGAGCAAAACGCTCATGCCCTTTTAGCATATAACAAATGAACTTGAAGATCCACTATAAAATCACAATGATCATCGTGACCATTTTGCTAACGGGAGGATCAATATGGCAGTTTGTGATCTAAACTAAAGTTCATTACTTTCGTATCTAATATTTGATATCTAGTTCATCTCACATTTTGAGAATTTATGAACCAATTTTTTTTCTTCAAATTATACTTCCATCCAAGCCAACTGTATATGCAAGTTTATATGTTTTTTTTAAATTTATGAATAGTCTACATGAGTGCGCCTACGAATGAATTAAATTTACTTTTTAAATCGTTGAAAAGGGACGTGAAACGGAATAAATTGGGAACCAAGAGTATAATTATAGGTGCTGAAAATGATTTGGGATTCTTTAAACTTACCCCTCTAATGATGGTTTTAGTTTTACTTGTATAGTGAAAAGATTATAATTCGTATTATTCCTAGTGAAATGAACGTTGATTTTTCCCATACTGAATGTTTTGTTTGAACGTTTGTACAGGGATATTTTTTGTTGGACCTATAATCATGATGATTTCATTAATTCATTTCACACTAATGTCATAATGAGGAATTTTAAATTTAATTTAAACTCCATATCATTATAATTAAGGGAAGTAGATATCTAAATTTTTAATATTCTTATTTTTTGTAGTCTTCTTCTGATTTAACTTTCAATAAACATGCCTTCAATTAGACTAATTTATTTTGTAGTAATATTGTCATCTTCGTTGTTGTTATTGTCAACTTGTAAAAAGTTCCTTGAATAATGAATGAACAACCACGCCTTTTATATAATATACGAAAACACTACAATATATCTGGAATATATATTTGTTCATTTTAGACACCGGTGTCCATCGGTTACCGGCTGCATGTTTCTGCTCGGAATTGCCCTGCTTTGTGCAGAAACGATAACAGCGCAAAGCACCACAGATACTAGTTATAGTATGGCAACAACGGACGAGGCAAATATTACGTTAAACACAAGTATGACCCCAACTAACGAAACTCCGGCAAATCAGACAACTTCAAGTTTTTCAACCGAGGTATCTACAACCAATGCACCCTCACCGACGACGCCCAATACCACCATAATCATCACCCCCATCACCACAAGAACGACATCAACATCTAATAATGACATTGATGGAAAGACGACCAACTCTAGTCAAGGATCCGAAAATAATGACAAGAACGATGAATCTCCTACCGAGAAAATAGGTTAGTGAATCTAGTTGCAGAATATAAATCGTCAGAGAATGTGGAAAGTGTTTTAAACAGGGAGCAAAAGAGAAAGACAGAAAGAAGGAAAGGGTAAAAAAAGAAGAACTAAACAAAAGCTGGAAGTAAAGAGAAGCAAGGACGCTTAATAAGTATTCAACTGGGGGTAGGGGGGGGGGGCACTGAAACGAAAAAAGCAGCATCACTTTAGGAAAGTCCCCCGATTTGATGCCTTGCGTTGCTTAGAAATAACGCTCCGTGGACAGTTTCCTTGGACGTTATTTCTTGATTTAGTTTATAGATGTTTTAATCGGCCTTTACGTTCCGGGTTTAGAGTTAGGGATATAGTTAGGTTTATGGTTAGGTACATTCTGAATGTTTGGTGCATGGTTAAAGTTATGGGTTTAGAGTTAGTGCCAGGGTTAGGTTTAGAGAATAGGTAAATTCTTATTTTTTGGTGCAGGTTGGAGTTATAAGTGAAGGAGTATGTATCGCAAAATCTTGCTTGCTCCCAAGTTTTGAAGAAAAGAATACAATCTCAATATATCGAAATTGAATAAGGTTGATTATTTGAAAGTATTTTCCATCGTGTTTTGTTCATTCCCTCATTCTTATACTTTCAATTAACCCAGGATCCATAGCTATCGCAGGCTTGTGTCTGGTCATCGTTGCTCTACTTCTCATTGCAGTTAACGGATATGTGCTCTTCAAATCAAAAATAGGGTGTGTATTTATTATCATTGTTATCTAAATATATTTTCTAATAAATGAATCATTATCATTATCATCATTATCGTTGATGTTATCTATTATTCATTAATATTATTTTCATTATGATTGTTATTATCATTAATATTTTTATCATTCTTCTTCTTCTTTTATTATAATTAACATTATTACAAATATTATCGTCCTTTATTATTATCATTATCATTTTTTTGTTTTGTTATCATGATCATCCTCATCCTCATCATCATATATGTATTTACTACTTTTTTGTTGATCTATTTTTATACAAATCTACATGATTCATATATCACTTTAACTGCTTATTTTACATACAATGATTTGGTTATCTGGAGTTAGACATCTTAGAATACCAACAATAATAAAGCGAGTAGTGCATAATGTTTCCATTTTGTAGAACAACGTAACACGGTACAGTCTCTTTCTCGTTCCTTTGTTTTCTTAAAAAACTTCTTCACGATAAAAAAAGTATTTTGAAATGTCGTTATAACAACAATATAAGACAAACTAAATTTTGAATGTAATTAGTAGGTTCATGATTTGATATAAAAAAATATATAATTTGCCTTTGATCATTTTGAAGTGTGTTGTATAAACTTGAAGAACAAACATTCTGCGGTATTTAGTTTGAACTAAAATGATACTTCAAACAATGACCATGATGATATTATCAGATACATACAATGCGATTGGTAAGACATCATACTACTGATAATGTTATATTAATTTCATAGACCAAACTTCATTTTGTAAACCTTTATTTTTATCATTTTTCTACAGTTTCTTCAAGGTTACAGTTAGTTTACAAATATGTTGGTGTGTACTAAACTTGTGACATTTGTCTTAGTTGTTTAAGCATGCAACGTGCAGACTATTCAGAAATGACAATTATTATCGCTCGGACGCTCCGCTCCCTCGTAAGATACATTTTTAACTGTACTAGTTAATTGTATACGATCTGGACACGTGTTAGGTATGTATTATGTGCCCTCCTCCCAGTCATGACAACAAATTACTGATTTTGATTCTTAACTTTACTCTCTCAGCTCATGCACCTCATGCAGCTCAAAACAAGGTATGTTCCACGTCCTACAAATGTCTTCCACCAAGAAGGACCCTGTCAATGACGACGACGTCGAGGATAACTTCGACGAGGACGCTGACGTCGACAGGAAAACCAACTCGTCGACTTCGTTGAACAAAGAGAGCCCCGCCGACCAGCCGGCTGAGCAGAACGGTGATGTGCACGTGAAGGTCGATGTCGAGGACACCGCAGAATCTTCTAAGAACGAAACCGATGACGTAGATGCCAAGACACCCGTAGCAGATGCCAAGACACCCGTAGCTGATGTCGTTGACAAGAGCAACGAACCGGAAAACGAAGCCGAGAAGAGGAATGAGACTGTAGTTACAGTCACCATAGAGGGCGGTAATGGAAACAAAAACGAGCCTTGATATTTTGTTCAGTGCTTCGCATCTTGAGTTTGTTTCTAATGGAAAACGCGATATCCAAATGTAAATCGGTCAAGGTTTCAGTACAGGGATAGTGTTGATGGTCTGCAGAGGATGATTTTTTTTCTCGCAAAGTTATAACAGTTTGATTGATATTATTTTCTGCATGTTTTGAGATGACATTAGTCCAAATTGTAAGAATAGAACCTTCGTGTGAAACTGGCTATTTAGTTAATTATATGGAAATAACACTGAGTGTTCGTCATGCAGGGTATTTGAGTGTGTTCGTGAGCGTGGGGGTGGGGGGGGGGGGGGGGGCTGCATTTCTGCTAATGAAGCTGGGGCTGTCTGACTAAAGCACTCTTATAACGCTTTCTCTACCAAGTATGTCAGTTTATTTCCTGCTGCAAAACATGTATTACAAACTACTTAATGACATTCTACAAGGAAGGAAGGATATGTTGTCACTTAGCCAAAATGAAACCTGAACTATTTGAGAAACACCTTTTTATTACCAACCCATCCTCTTTATGAAGATATATTCGTTTAAATTCCTCTTTCCGAGTCTGTCCTCGAAACTCTTCACTTCTTCAATAATATAATATCAAATTACTCTACATATATAGCAGGCACACTATTCTGTCGATCTATGTTTCTTTAATTTCGTACTTCAGATAATGTTTTCTTAGACCTTGAGGAATACTTGACTGAAAATACAAATACCTGGTGGAATACCGCCCTCTTCAGACTAGATGCGCTGATATTTTATTGTTTTTATATCATTGTAGGATAAATTCTGTAAGGTAATCTCTCAACACGAGTAGTAGACAGTGATGCTAGTTTATTTTAAATCTATTATAATGTAATTTTTAACTCTTCACCTAGGTTTTCAGTGGGTTTCCGGCTACGAACATTCATGTGGTTGGAGAAGTATACGTGTGCGCTTGTAAAATGGCGCTGGAATACTCCCCAGGGGGCGGAGCGCGTTCCAATATCCGATGTCATGATTATAACAAATGTAAAGCGCTTAGAAACGTCTGATTAAGCACTTTGAAAATGTTATCACTAATATTTGTATTATAATTGCTCTATTATATTGTATTATACACGATTTTACTTTTTATTTATGTTTTCACATTGAAATGATAATGGTTTTAAAGAGTTGTTGCTACGCATCAAAGGCAGGCATATCATCGGTGGGGTGACAAAACCTCGTAATTCAAATTCGGATTATTTTTCACAAATAGCACGATCACATGGACTTGAAAAAAATGAACCCTATGTAATCTCAAAAACATTGTGCGTCACCAATTGAGCAACTCTGTTTCAAAATACACCCCCTCACGAAGTCTTCGCTCCTCATCAGACACGCTATTACTTAATACACACAGAATAAAACTTGCTTGGGGCGATCGGGCTTTCTCTGCGAATGGGTCCAAAACTCTGGAATAAGCTCCCTCTACAAATACGCCAACTGTCGTCAACAGAAACATTCAAATTACAACTGAAAACTTATTTGTTTATTTCGTTGTAAATATTGCAATATTTTAATTTACCATGTCTAGGAGAATTTCGAATTTTGTTTTTCGGTTAATTGTGTTTTTTCTTTCTTATGTCTGTTACATGTCCTTTTCTCTAAGCGCCATGAGCACCGAAAGGTGGACCTGTGAGCTATACAAGTAGCCACTATTATTATTATTAGTACATCTTACATAAATCCGAAAATGAGTTCTATAGGCAATACATTTATAGGGATTCGGAATTGCCCTTGATTTTTTGAAAATCTTTGCGATTGTGTTTAACTTGTATCTCAGGAGTAATCTAATACTCGGGTATACCCATGTTAAGACTATCTGCAAAACAATGCCACAACCGATCGGAATAAGAAAGAACATAAAGGCTTTAATATTGTTACAACACTGAGGTGATTTTAAACTGAACCATCAAAAGTGAAATCTTTGAGTTACTTTTGTTTCACCCCATCTACGATGATAATGTGTTCAGCACATGCCTTCCGATTAGGTGGGCATGTTCTTTTTTTATGTGAAGAGGCGGAGAGGTTTTACACATTTATTTCCCCTATTACCATGGTAACGGTCACATTTGATGTAAACAACGTTTGATGTCACATTCTTGTAGACGTACGTCATGAGACAAAAACAAAAATTGCCGCCTTGTTGTTCAACAGTTTGATGTCTGTTATCGAAAACTCCCACATGAATGTTATCGAATGAAATTGGAGTAACTTTGGCTTATTTGCCAGATGAAAGTCCCGCAAAAAAAACCTATGTATTCCTCCCCCTTTCTTTCTTCCTTTTTTGGTGGTTGTCTTTCATTCTTTTTTTCATTTTTTTCCCTTTTTTTTCTTTCTTTCGTTGTTTGTTTGTTTATTTCATTCTTTCATTCATTCATTCATTCATTCATTCATTCTTTCTTTCTTCATTTCCTTCGGCTTTCTTCCTTTTTATTTGTAGAAGTTTTTACGTGTTTATCATTTTGGTACATTATTTGTGTCATTTCAAATGTTCTGGAGCCCAGACCCTTCCCCAGCTCGGGAGTACTACTACCCCCCTTGCTCTCGGCGTTAAAGTTAACACCCCACTTCACCGGACACGCCACTTAATAAATTGACGCAGTAAAACAAAAAGTTGAAGGATGAAAGGGCGATGTATTCCTGGCCGTATTTACTCAGTGGAGATGGTGAAATGTAGCAATGTTGTTTTTATATGAAGAGTAAACATTTCCTGTGTGTGTATTTTAAGGTATGCCAAACTGAATTATTTTTCGGGGGGGGGGGTCAGTCACGAATTACAGTTATGAATTCTAGATCACTGTGAGGATTGGTTTGTAAATGAGAGGTGTGGTGTCGATGATTGTAAATATTTTATACTTATCCACTTTGATTTTGTATTTGTGAAAAGTTGGTAATAAGCTTACAATGTGGTATTTTGTTTTTAAAGGAACACCTTTGACATTGGATATAAATGAACCTTTGACTTAGGAATGTAAAAAAAAAATCATGATAAGTATCTGCTGATTTCAGAAATGTTACGATGTAATTAGAAAAAGGTTTTCGAGTAAATCGAACGGCTGTATTTTACTAGAAGAACATGCACAATGTGTAGAGCGTCAACAAACAAATTGCATGTGCAATATTAAAACATATGGCACGTTTAATACTGTTTATCACAATGTAGCAATGTTTAGCTAATGTGAGAAGGAGAAGCAAGACTGTATTATAGGAATCTCGTCATTTACTTTTATTAGATTTTCGCAAGATTTGGTATTATTTCATTTGTCGTGTTTCTAGAAATACATTTAGCTGCTTTCACGAAAACTTGACGCCGAATTTTACTGTATATAGCCCGGTACTTATTGTTACTCAATGTCTCAGGATATTTTGTATTATTTTATTTGTCGTGCTCGTAGAAAAAAATTAAGTTGTCAACATTCAAAAAAAAAAAAAAAATGTGTATACGTGTGCTTTATAATGTGTATATAATCAAGGCAGTTTGTTTAATTATTTTCCTTTTCACAACATTATTAATATTTCTCTTTACTTGGTCTGAAAATGAGACTATCATATGAATTTGGACAATACCCAGTTTGAGGTTGTAATAAAAGCCACATTTTGTTATTTTCATACCATGAATGTATACATTATTGAGGTTGGATTATTTAAACATGTCACTTTAACAAGCATGTCTTAGTTTCTGCGGGAAACTCACCTGTATAGATTACACCTGTCAACCAGTGGCGTAGTACGCGTTGGGTGAGGGGGGGGGGGGGATGTACCCTCCATCGAATGCCGCTAAAACAAAAGTGAGACTAAAAAGAGGAACATGAAAAGGAAATAATATTATGACCCTTCGATACCCTATCCTCACGTGATCGTCCTGTTCCCTTACATTCTTCAACTAGGAAGACCGATGCTCCCTATTACACTCGTGCCCCACCCTCTACTGGAATCATACTATGCCACTGCTGTATGTCCCATAATGGCTATGTATTATACTTCACCTAACACATAAAAACATTGTTATCATTAATCATGACAATTGCATGCCAGAAAATGTTTGTAAATATTAAAGGGAAGTATCCTCAAGGAAATTTCATTCATGGCACCTAATATTGATTTACTTAGACTTTTCCAAATGGCACGTTACGCGAAATTCTAACCACAGTTTGAATTATAGAAATTCAGAAAACATTGTCAAGGTGAAAATTAATTTTGAATAAGGGCAGGGAGCGGTGGATGTGGGGGAACGATTATAATAATCGGGTTATCAGACATATTTTGTTGCTCATCAGTTTTAAAATGCCAAAGCAAAACAAACAAAAAAAGAAAAAGAAAATAAGAAAAGGAGGAAAAGGAGAGTGTGTGAAGGGGGGGGGGGACACATTTTGTCAACCCGCCCCCTCTGTTAACGCCCTCCGTCTATTAGACTTATATGTTATAAATATTTACAACCATGATATCGAACCAAATAACCACGTCGTAATAAAATCCAAGATCATCAACAATAATTACTACAAAGAGTGTGTTTGAATATGCACATGGGTTTGTATGCGTGTGCGTGTGGGTGTGTGTCTGTGTGTGTGATTCTTTTTGTTCTGTTTTGTTTGTTTAATATTGTTTTGTTCATATTGTGAACTCCAAGTCACCCATACTGGATCTCTTTGCAGCATGACATACAGTATTCCCGGTTCAAAAGTAAAATAAAAAAAAGAAATCAGAAGAGCTACGTCATTTCTCATATAAATGTCATACAAAGCTCAACCGAACTGTATTAGTTGCTATATTTCTGCCAACTTTTTCGAACATGTTCATGATTTCTCAGTTTGTCAGATTGTTTATGCCGGGACCCGGGTAACCATCGAGGTTCAATCACTATAATTACAGTAACTATACAAATAACTATATCAATAGTATTATGCTAAAGCCAAGGCTCAACACATATATTTTGATTTAAAAAAATATATATATTAAATAAACTCTTACTTATATCATTATTTTGTATATACAAAAATTAGTAAAAAATATATCTAAATAATTCATTATTTTGTGAGAATCGCTGACGCATCGTTTGCTAAAAACAAATAGGTATAAAGGATTAGTATAATAAGGCATGTAACATTACCGAACATAAACGTTTTAGAAGTATGCGCTCAACATGAGAGAAATAGAAGGAAAAAGAGAGCATAGAAGGGGTTATCGACACATAATAACTAGTTGTAGATAAGTATTATGGTAAATCGGGCTAAAATTATCACGGTACAGTCTCAAGTTCGTTTGCAAGCCAAAGGGA